GAGAGGAGCCGCGACCCACCGGCGGAGCCGAAAACAAGTGTATTCATATTCAAACAAACGGACCAATTGCACCAGGCGGGGAGAGGGAGCATCCAATCGGCTGGCGCGAGGCCCCGGCGCTGCTTTGCATAAAGCAATATTTTGTGTGGGAGCGAGCGGTGCATTTGCATGTTGCGGAGTGATTAGTGGGTTTGAAAAGCGAACCGTGGCTCGGCCTCATTTCCCGCTCTGGTTCAGGCGCAGGAGGAAGTGTTTTGCTGGAGGATGATGACAGAGGTCAGGCTTCGCTAATGGGCCAGTGAGGAGCGGTGGAGGCGAGGCCGGGCGCCGGCACACACACATTAACACACTTGAGCCATCACCAATCAGCATAGGTGTGCTGGCTGCAGCCACTTCCCTCACCCACACTCTTTATCTCTCACTCTCCAGCCGCTGACAGCCCATTTTATTGTCAATCTCTGTCTTCTTCCCAGGGATCTGAGAATTGCTCTTACACACCAAACCAGCAGCATCCGTGGAGAAAACTCTCGCCAGCAACTCCTTTAAAACACCGTCATTTCCAACCGTTGTGGTCTTTAAGCAGCAATAACAGCCACAAAAAAACCCAAAACCCAAGCAAACAAAACTCTTGACAGGAGCTTTGACGGGAGAGGATGCCTCATAAAGGTGAGTCCGCTTCTTTCTTCTCGCTTCATTTTTATCGCAATATCCAGGCAGGTCTCCCCCTTCCTCCCCCCGTTCCTTCCTCCGGTCTCGCCGGTCCCCTCCCCCATTGCTACGCCCGGAGAGTTGGGTCGGAGAAGTTTCCACGCTGGAGCCCAAACTTTGTACTTCCAGCAAAAGCCCGCGTCGGAGGGCGACGGCCGGCGAGCGGGAGCGGCGCTGGGCTCCGGGCCGGCGGCCGGCTCACCCCCAGCGCCAGCACCAGCGCGGGCTGAGCTCACAGAAGAACCAGGCGCAGCAGCAGCCGCGGCTCCCGGCCCCATCACCTCCAAATGCTCACGGCTCGCAGGAGACGAGGAAGAGGCTCTGCGGTGCTCCAGGCCCGGGAACGGCTGCCGGGACCAAACGCTGCCGGCTGCTTTGTCCAGCCGAAGGCCCAGGGAGCGCGCAGGGAGCGGGCGCACCGAGGGAGCGCCAGGGAAGCCCGTTCGCCGCTCCGCCGCCTCCCCGCCCGCCCTCCGCCTTTGTGCCGTGTTGGGCCCGGGCACACAAGTCCGCTGGCACTCAAGCGCCGAGGGGCACCGCGCCCGCCGTCCGCTGGAGCAGAGTCAGTCGGCAAGGCAACGGCACACTGGATGCGGAGAGAAAGGGAGTGTGAGCGGGAGCCGGGAAGGAAGCCACCAGGCCAAAGCGGCCGAACGCGCGCTCCGAGGGAGCTCTGAGCCGAGCCCAGGATTGTCAGCTTCCTTCAAGCCCTCAGGCTCTCGCCCTCAACTTGAGCGCAGAGCTCGGAACTTGAAAACTCTCTACTCCCCACGCTTCCCCCAACCTTCGCCCTCGCCCTGCGAAAGCTGGGGTCTTCCTTGTCCTCCAGCCCCCAGCGCTCGGTGGGTATTTTTCCTTGTCTTCCTCTGACAATGCTGCGCTCGGTGTTGCCATTTCAACAAGTTTCGAGGTGGAAAAGTGGATTGGATTGCTTTTTTTTTTAAAAAAAAAACATCTAAATTCCCTGATTTTTTTCTTTATGAGGCTTTTAAAAAAATCAGTATGAAAGCACTGGCTTTCCCCTTCGTCTGATCACATCCTCTCCCAGCCAATTAGTCTGAGTAATTTGAGAGCTTTTCGATTGATTCTAAAACCCCAGGAGGAAAAGTGTCTTTTCAAAGTTCATGAAGTTGTTGCCTCTTTCCGTGTGCAGATTTTCTCCATCTCTGTGTCCCATGATAGGCCCGAATTTTAGCAAGTGTAATTGGGGGAAATGGAGTTGAATTTCAAGTGGAAATGCTCTCTCTCTCTCTCTCTCTCTCTCTCTCTCTCTCTCTCTCTCTCGTCGTCTTTTTTTTTTTTTTTTTTTTTTTTTTTTTTTTTTTTTGAGTGCTAAAACCTGGCCTTTCGGTCTCGAGTGATTTCTACAAAGTTTAAAAACAACGTGAATGTGGAATCTTTTTCTCTCATACTCTGCACAGCTCCTTAAGCCATTTTGGATGTTTAACTCGAACTTGGGAAGGTCGAGGAGGGGCGGGAGCAAAAAATGAAATAAAAAGCAAAGAGCTTAAAAGCTTGGTGAGTTTACCGAGGAGAAATAATAGTTGTTGCCATTGACATTACATTTTTTTATAGCCAGTGACCTTTGCAAACGTCTAAAGGCGACTTGATTAGTTATCTTATTTGGCCCTAGAGAGTAAAACTTTGTCATTTTAATTGCTAATTACTTTTTGGCTAGGGGCCGGGAAGGACAAAAGTAAGCTCTCCCCTTCACTCCAGCTAAGGAATTTGGGGTTGGATTTTAGAATTAAGTAATTTAAAACATCATTACTTGAAAGCGGAGGCTGTGTCAGGGAGTCAGTAGCCCAGTGGCCTAGGGGACCAAGGCCCTGGCGACTTCCAAATGTCTGGAAACTCCTTGATTCCTGGTGCAGGTCTCTGACCTGTCTAGGGCTTTAGGGAGCCCAAGGCTGAGATTGGAGGGAGGGGGCTGTGTCTGTGGCTCGGGGTTCTCAACTCTCCTGGCGTGTTTGCTTCCGGGTGTCGGTGTGCCGGGCCTCTCGCATTGCTTTTGCACTTTAGCCATTACTTAAGCAATTAGATAGATTCTAAGCTGAGAGGGGGTGGGAATGGAGTAGAACCGGAATTTGAAATGCTTTCCCAGATGCTTCGAAAAGTAATTAGTTAGGCCTCTCTGTAATCAGCTACTGAATTCTTTAAAAATAGCATCAAGAATGTACCTGCTGGGATGGGGGCATTCACTGGTGGTTGAGTACAGAGTGGTATGGAGAGGAGTTAGGAAGTTTTCCCCCTTCAGGAGTATTCTGCTACTCCTCTCCCGCCTGCTACCTTTGCCTTTTCAGAGTCCCACTTTGAGGTTGTGTGTGTGTGGGGGGGGGGGGGGAAGGGCACATATTCTGATCCAAGTTGGGGTTTCTGCCTGGTGGGGGCATGACCGTGGTCAAGGGGACTGAGAGGCGGAAGGCCTTGAGAGCCAGTGCAGCTAGGCATAACTAGGTAGCCCTCTGCCATCTCCAATATTTACCAGGCCAAATTTGGAAGCTGGGAAGAAGTGTTCCACTTAAGTTTATTTTTTATGGATTTAAGCTGCCTCCCAGCTAGGTAATAAATTAGACCATGAATAGCTTTGGAGGGGGAAAATGTGCTTCTCAGAATTCCTTGCTTGCAGGCAGGCAAAATTAATAATCACCATAGGCAAAACAGAAAAAAAAAGAGTATTTTAGGTGTTTTTTTTTAAAACAGGGAGAAATGATGCTGTGACTATTTAATTATTTTACTTCTTTTTCTGCCCAAAGCTTTTGAATGGACTCTTTATTGTAATTCTCTCTTCCCAATTGAGCACCCTACGGTGCCGTTGTATCTTTTTACGGCCCCTAACAACTCACACCAGTAACACAATTACCTCCAGATATTTATAACAAGAAATTACTTTTCTATTTTCTCTCCCCTCCCCCAAAACCTTCTTAGGGGAAGGTAAGGAGGGGTGGTGGAGGATGAATCTTAGGGAGACAAGCACTAGATCAGGATTGACAATGCAAGAAGTGTCCCTCTGTTCCCTTTGTGAGTTGGCGGGTTGTTGGTACGTGTGGTTGGAAGCTGTGTTGCTGGTTAGGGAGAGTCCGTTTTGCTCTTTGGGTTTGGGGAGAGCTGGAGAATAGGAGCCATTGTTCACTGTCTGTAGGCTTTGTCCACCACGCTCACCCCCTCCTGTTCCTACTTTTTAAAGCAGCGAGGCGAGGTAGACAGCGTGTGTCACAGTACAGTAAAAGGGGGGACGATCTAAACACCGAAAGAAAAGTTAATCACAATAAGTGAGGTTTGGGGGGAAAAAGTTGGGCTCACCACATTCAAAGGCCAAGAAAGGCTGGGAGATGGGTGGAGTAAGGGCCTGACGGGGAAGCTTTGAAGGGGAGAGTAAAGGATAAAGTGGTAACCAGAGAGTTGGGTTCTGGGGGCCTTAGGAGGCTGGGGTGGTAAAATTCCTCAAGGAGAGTATGGCTCTGCAGCCCTCCTGACCAGCCCCAGCCTGCACTCTCAGGCACTCTGAAGTTCTGAGGTCCTCTTCACCTCACCTCTAAACTTCGCGTATACTCCCCTACCCCCTATGCCACTGTTTCTCTTGTTCTTTCCCTGGCTCTTGATATTTTTGCAAAATGGGGCCTGACTTGTCAGATTCTCCAGTTCTCCCACGCCAGGCCAGAGCAGTGACTTCTAAAAGATGGAGACTTCTGCGGGAGAGGCTGCTGAAAACGTGGGTGCAGCTTTGAGATTTAGGGTTTTATGGCAGTTTGAGCCCTAGTTGAGTATTTTTGTTTTGTTTTGTTTTCTGAGAGTATGGCTCAGAGAGCCATGGGCCTTTGCTTTTGAGCCACAATTTGACATACCTTTCTCTCCTTCTGTTTTATCTTAGGGGGAAGACCTTAACTAGGGGTGCGCAGATGTGTGAGACCTTTTATTGTAAGAGTGGACAGACATCCCAGATTTCAGGCAAGTTCTGCTGTGGCTTGAAAGCTGCTTTGGGATCCCAAACCCTAAAGATTCAGAATGCTTCTTCAGTGTTGTTCAGATGGAAGAAAAAATTCAAAATAGGGTCACCCTTTCTTCTGATTAAAGGGTTTAACCCTTAGAGATTTGGAAGATACAGATTGGGAATACTGGATTTTTTCATGCCTGGAAGGTAGAGCTGGATGGCCCTCAGATAGCTCTAAGCAATTGGGTGGATTATTCCCTAAAGAACCCGGGCAGTCTCCTGTCCTGGCTCCAGGTCATCCTCCATCCAGAGGTAGGCCTACCGGGCCCAGGATTAATGCCTGTGTTCTTGCTAACAGAATCCCATATTCGAGCCCCGTGGGATCCCGCGCCCCACAGCCAGCGCCAGCATGCAGAACAGTAAGTGCCTCTAGCCTTTCTCATGTGGGGCTGGGGATTCGAAGACCAGTGGGTCAGGGGGAGGGCGTCAGCTCTGACCAGGCCACCATGGTAGCACGGAAAAACCCCAGGGACCTAAGGCAACTGTGCCCCCCTCTGCGCCTGGCAACTTGAGAGGGGAGGGCGTTTGCTCTGCTGTTCTGGCTCCTGGAAAAACAGGAGCTGGGCGCTTCAGAACAGCCCGCTCGAGTTTGTGAAGTTGAGGTAGAGAAACCCCATCCCCCCCAAATCCTGTAACTCACACCTCCCTCCCCTCCCCTGCCCGGGCTCTGACCCCAGAGAGAGGGGCTGGGCTGAGCAGAGAGGGGCGGAGGCTTCTCCTGGTTGCTTGAGGAGAAGGAGGCCCCTTTCGGCTTAGCCAAGACTGAGGTCTCCTCCATCAGGGCGGGGTGTGGGGGCTCCCCTCCCCCAGTCGCTCCCAGGGCAGCTCCTTCCCTCTCCACCCCGCTGGGGGCCTAGAGGGCAAGACACCCAGTCCTGCGGGTGAGGTGAAGGTGGTAAACTCCACCAATGGGGCTGTTACCGGGCTCTGGGGTCTGGGAAGAGAGTCGGGCTCCAGCCCAGGAGTTGGAGAAGCCCTGCTGCAGCTGTGTGGGTGCTGGTTGTTTCGAGCCCACAGTGCCCCTGATTCCCGGCTCTTGAGTTTCCCATGCTCCCTCTGCCCAGGCCCCCAGATCCCAGTCCACCTTCCTGCTCAGTCCAAGCGTGTTGGTACGTAGCAGGGCTGGTCTGGGGTCCCGACCTGAGAGCCTGGAGGCCCAGTGAAGCCAAGGTCCGGGTTGAGATGCGGACTTTGGTCGCGGTTCTTTAGGGCCAGCTGTAGGAGTGCAGACAGGCCCACGTCTTCTAGCAACCTTCCCTTGCCGAACTGCAGACCAGACGTAGGAGGGTCCCTAGAGCCAGATGTCTCTGTCCTGGGAGCGCTAGCTGCCTCTCGGTGCCTCCGCGGCCCGGTGGGCGGAAGCTCGGGAGAGGACGCAAAGGTGGCGAGCTTTAAGGGGGGTTCAGTTGTGCAGAACCTGGCAGGCCCCGGGGCTGGCCCAGGAGGCACCCTTCTTGGCCAGGCGAAGGCTTCTGCCCACCCCTCCGGGCAGCTGCGTTCTCCTCCCGCAGCTCAGTCTCCGCAGCGCTCTCGGCGGCCGGGCTGGGGCGCACAGCGCTGAGCGCTCGCCGCGGCCTGGCTGGCGGGCCCCAGGGGCGCGGGGTCGCAGGCAGGCCTGCGGGGCTTTGTGCCGCTCGCTCCCGGGTGTGCGCAAGGCGCGGAGCATCCAAATTGACACCATATGTTTTCCTATTAGATGCTTCGTGGTCGAATTCTAGGCGCATAATCATCGCTACTGGGCAAGAGCGCCCGCCGTCCCTAGGGAAGGGACACAATGATTGAGGCTTAACCTCTGAAGGGGAACTTAGCCGCGCTTCCTCGCTGCCATTTCGATGCTGGCAGAGGCGACCTGGCCCTGGTGTGTCCTGGGCGAGCACCAGCCCTAGGTCCCTGCGGAGGTGTCAGGGACGTTATTATTATTATTATTATTATTATTATTATTATTGTTATTATTATTTTGCAGTGGGGGGGCGGGGAGGAGGAAGGTCTAGGATTAGGCGACCTCATATGCCTTGGCATTCAGAGGTTGGGATTCGCCCTGGCTGTGCGTGAAGTTTGGGAAGCCTTTCTTGGTCTCTCTAGGACAGCACTTCTCTTTCTGGGAAGGTTTCCTTTGTCCAAAGGGGAAGCCCTGTAGTTAGAGGGTAGCTGGGTCCTGCCAAGCAAAGGAAGGATACTTGGGAGAGACCGGAAGCGCGGACTAGGCCTCGCTCTGTTGGAAAAGTGATGTCCCCGAGACGTCCCCACTCATGCTGCGTCCAGACAGAGCCCAGGTCCCCCAAACGCCTGTCACTTCTCATCGAGCTTAGGCTCCGGCCCCCCTCTCCGTGAGGGCCCCCCTCCGCCCCAAGCCTTTGCTACCCTGGACACGCGGCTCCCCTCGAAGGGGAAACGAGTGCAGTTCCATCTCGTCTGAGTGATCTACAAATAGGGACGGAAAGGGTCGTTTTATCATGGTCCCGTTTGTCGTGACGATGCAATTTCCCGGAGCGGAGCACTGTCACAAAGTGACAAGGCTGCCACAAGCGCCCCGACTGATCTTTTCAATTAGCCTTCCATGCATGATCCGGAGCGACTTCCGCCTATTTCCAGAAATTAAGCTCAAACTTGACGTGCAGCTAGTTTTATTTTAAAGACAAATGTCAGAGAGGCTCATCATATTTTCCCCCCTCTTCTATATTTGGAGCTTATTTATTGCTAAGAAGCTCAGGCTCCTGGAGTCAATTTATCAGAGACTCCAAGGAGAAGAGAGGAGAGGAGAGGAGAGCTGAGCAGGGAGCCACATCTCCTGGAAGGGCTGCTCTCCAGACTCCGGGCTCAGGTTGGAGATTTGTACGGAAGTGGAAATTGTCCATTGGCTTTATTTGTGTGCCTGTGGTTTCTAGGGAGGGGGCTACAGAGAAGTGCTAACTTCCTATCCCTGTTCTCTAAGATTAGACAATGGGTGAGGAGGCTGTGAGATAACAAGATAAAGGACAGATGTGTGTGGGGGGGCACTGTGGTGTGGTCTCTTCCTTTTCCTTTCGCTTTTTGATTTTTGCTAATATCTGTCCTTGGCTGTGGGGAGAGCTGAGAACAGCAGCGGAAGTAAATTGAGCTGTGGCCGCTGTGAGCAGACGCCCAGCTCTGGCTCCGCTGCCGCAGCCGGACTACTTTGTGGTTGGAGCAGATCTGGCGCTCTGACCCTCATGCCTACGGTAGAGGCGCTGAAACCCAGGTTAGGTTCACTAGCCACAGATCTGCTGTTCTGGTTCTTCTCTTGTCCTTCCCCTTCTCTTCTCCCATCTACGTAGTATTTTTTAACCCGGGTGTTTGTGCGGTGCCTTCGCCAGAGTTTGGAGTGTGACAGCAAACATTTCTGGACTCAGGCCTCGGTGGAAGCGCGGAAAGGCTGTGGGATTTACTCTTACAGTTCCAACAGTGCGGAGAGCTTGGAGGTTCCGTGTCGGTTCTGTGGAACCACCGTTTGCCACAACTCAGAAGGGATCTTTGGGAAGATATTTTTAGAGCTGATTGTTTGCATCTCGTGGGTTCAGAGGTTGGTTGGGGTGTTTATGAAGAGGGGCATGGTCTGGGGACACTGCTGGGGTGGTGCCAGAGTGAGGTGAGTGTGTTCTTGCTCCTTGGCAGGTGTGTCTGCCTGTCTGGTGCTTCTGCAGTCCAGTGGGCAAGAGTACGGCTGTGTTTGGGGCTGGGCTGCCCGATGCCCTGCATGGCTGCATGGTCCTGTTGTCATTTTTGATCGATTGCAGGGGCCTGATCACCAAGGTTGGCAGGAGTTGGCAGGGAGCTGAGGATGCATTTGGTTGTTTTCTCCTCCTCCTCTTCCTCTTTACTCTTCCTCCTCTCTTCTCTCTTTTCTCCTCTATTCTCCTCTGCTCTCCCCTCTTTTCCTCTCTTCTCCTCTGCCTTTCCTTAGGTCACAGCGGAGTGAATCAGCTCGGTGGTGTCTTTGTCAACGGGCGGCCACTGCCAGACTCCACCCGGCAGAAGATCGTAGAGCTAGCGCACAGCGGGGCCCGGCCGTGCGACATTTCCCGAATTCTGCAGGTGATCCTCCTGGCGTGCCCCACTCGCCGCCCCTGCGGCCCTCCACTTGCAAGGCCCTCTCTTCACTTCTTACTGCAAACGCTGCTAATTATGGACCCCCCTCCCCCCCCCAGTCCCTACGCCACTCCCCTGTCTTCCCGCTTTCCCCTCTCCTTCCACCATCCTTCCCCATCTCTTTCAACCTGGGTCAGTCACATAACTCATCTAAAAAGAAAAAAAAAAGAGTGTGTGAATTAAAAGAAAAAAACCTTTCTCTTTTCACTTGGTAAAAAACATTTGTTTTTAAATGTACTTTAGTTTATGTACTAGAATAAGCTGAGTTTTACAAAACCGGCATCATTTCATTTCCTTCTCTCTCATCCCATGTTTACCTCAGATTTTGAGTTACTGGTTTGCATATGATAAACTAAGGAAGCATATCTATATATATTTATTTAAAAAGACAAGTGCTATTTACCTCCCTCCATAACTCACATGTACTCAATTGGGTATATTTTTAAAGGAAAAATAAGTTTAAATTCAGTTTACTTTCCCCCTTTGCTCATTAAAACATAACACCACTTTAAACAAGGTCAGCACACACACACACAAATCTGACTTCGTTTTGATGCATCTTCTGGCAGTGTTTAAGAAAACAGTTTTTTAAAAATTTAAATTAGTTTTTTTTTTTAGTTCAAACTGTTTAAAAGTATCCTCATATTTGTAGTTTTCAGGGCTACAAATGTAATTTTAAGAAAAAAGCTCTCTACAGTAAGTTCTCGTACCATTGAAGGTATATTTTTGTGTTATAGACCCATGCAGATGCAAAAGTCCAAGTGCTGGACAATCAAAACGTAAGCTTGTCATTGTTTAATGCATACTTAAACAATTTTATTTTTGTCTTGAAATTATTAATAATGTGGTTTTCTGTCCACTTCCCCTATGCAGGTGTCCAACGGATGTGTGAGTAAAATTCTGGGCAGGTATTACGAGACTGGCTCCATCAGACCCAGGGCAATCGGTGGTAGTAAACCGAGAGTAGCGACTCCAGAAGTTGTAAGCAAAATAGCCCAGTATAAGCGGGAGTGTCCGTCCATCTTTGCTTGGGAAATCCGAGACAGATTACTGTCGGAGGGGGTCTGTACCAACGATAATATACCAAGTGTAAGTTCACTGAGAACACCCCCCTCCCGCCCTAAGCACCATTCTCTTTCCTCTTTACCATATCATTCTTCACCTCCTTCTGCTCTCCTCCCCACCAGTGTCTGTCTCTTATCTCCTCTCTGCTCTTACCTCCCTGCTCTCTGTACCTGGGGCTGTTGAGAGGAGCATCCCGACCTTTTCTTGACTTTCTTGGAAAATGGGAGTCAAGTGTGGGAAGTTGGTCACCTCATTTGCATGCTGCATAGTAGAGGGAGGAGGCACTTGAATCAAGAAGGAAAATGAAAATGAAAACCAGATTCTAACTTCCTCCCAATCCGCCTGCCTGAACATTCCTTCAGGCGTCAAACATCCATTTCTGCACTAATATAAAACTAAGTGCAACAAAGCTCTAAATAAGTCTAAAAATTTTTGGAAATCTTTAACAAAGTAAGGCAGCCATGTGATAGGTCACCAGAGACCCCCTCATCCACCAGTGCTGACCCAACTTAGTTTCCATGCCCAAAGTGATGGCTGTCATTCTGTCCATCATGTCCCTGCAAATCACCCTACACTGTCCTATGATGGTTGGGAGTTGTTTTTTCTAAATGTGTTAAGGGTTGCTCTTTAAGGGGGTGGTTGTGTTTGGATGGGGATTTAAGACAGAGCGGCCTTGTTTTTAGGAGACACTGCCATTTGGTTTGATTTTGGTTTGATTTGCAGGTGTCATCAATAAACAGAGTTCTTCGCAACCTGGCTAGCGAAAAGCAACAGATGGGCGCAGACGGCATGTATGATAAACTAAGGATGTTGAATGGGCAGACCGGAAGCTGGGGCACCCGCCCTGGTTGGTATCCAGGGACTTCAGTGCCAGGGCAACCTACCCAAGGTAAAAACCCGAGCAACGACCGAAACTCTCTGTGTATGCAGCCATAGTCTTCTCCCCAACCTTTCCCTCTCCAGCCCTCTGTGCTTAGAGGATGCAGTGGGGTGACTCTTCAAAGGCTTGGGACACATTGGCTTGCACTGTATGTAGCTGGTGCTTATTGAACTCTCTGGTTGGCCTGGGAATGGAAGGGCTATGTCAGGAGTAGTATGCATGTGGCTGGTGTGTGTACATGTGTGTTATGGGCAGGAGTAAGTGCACGCGCGTGCGTGCGTGCGTGTGTGTGTGTGTGTGTGTGTGTGTGTGTGTGTGTAAGAGCTTCGAGGTACCTTATTCAAATTTGCCATTCAAATGCATACATAGAAAGTCCCTTTGCTGTAGAAATGAGACAGGTTAACACTGCCAGACTGTGAGGTAAACAGAATTGTATCGTTTTGCTTTCTGCCATAATTGACAAATTATGTGACTATGAGTAGGGTTCAAATGAGAGACGGTGAGCAGAGAGATGCATGGTCGAGTGGAGAATGGGGCACTGGAAGTGGTGGTCTCCCAACTAAAACACCCCCACACTCTCTCCAACCTTCTGGGTCCCCAGTTCTCACTCTCTGTAGGTGGCGACTGCTTAGATGGGTGGGGTGACAATAGTGTGAGCCAGACTTGGGGTGCCCGGGTCTGGGAGAAGAGATGGGATCTGGATCATTCCAGGATGTGTGAGTAGGGATGAAGGAAGAAGAGCAGATAGGGATGGGGGGAGGCCCGTTGGCTCTCTCCTTCCCTCCACACACAGAGGTAGCTTGGTCAAGAATAGGAAACAGTTTACTGGGAAGATTAATCGGTATTTGTTGTCCTGGTGACAAGGAGATAATATGCGAGATAATGGGACGTGGCGTCTCACTCCCCGGAGCACGACGCAGCCTGGGGGCTTCTGGGCGCAGGACGCTGACGGGACTGCCCGCGCTACCGTGCGCTCTAAAGACGGCTCTGGGTGCCCCGCGCCTCCACGGAGCCGGACTAGAGAAGGGAAAATCGGTAACAGTATGCGAAATAACTGGTACAAAGGATGCTTCTGTCACTCCCAAGAATTTGTTATGGGAACAATCCTGTCGCTCTGTAATTGCTCATTAGAGAACGTTTTGTTTCTCATTAAGGCGACATGAATAAGCGTCTAGTTGAAGGAGACAGCTGTAGAAATGTTCCACAAGAGACCTCTGGACACGATTCGGCACCAATTGCCAATTAGACATGTCAGTTTTAAGAGCAGGAAACAATATAGGACGGACACTGGGAAGATAGGGAGCAGAGCGCTCGCTCCGGGTTCCCAGCGCGGCGCGGCCGGCCGAGGCTTCCCGATGCGCTGAGCTGAGCGACCCGCCCGCGGGATCCCCGGATCGCCCCAACCCGCAGCCTCCCGGAGCTCAGCAGGCACACCTGAGGATTTGCCTCCAGCCGGGCTGCAGGCCCAGGCCCACCCTGGCCTCAGCTGAGGACGAGGGACTGACATGGTTAAGTGGGGACCACCGCACCCTCACTTGACCTTTGGAACTAGGAATCCCACGTGCACACAGTGGACACATTCAAGTGAAAGCGCACGTCACACTCCACAGCGCCTGCCCGCCAGCTTCCCGGCAATCCCAGGCCTCAGGCCGCCCGGGTCCCAGAAGTCTTGGGGAGGGCGCAGGGCGCAGTGGCTGAGCCTGGGAAAGCTGATCCCCAAGGCCCCGCTGGCCCCTCGGCTCCAGGGCTCCCATAGCTTGGGGCCTAGAGCAGGGACACCCCCTCCTGCTTCCTGGAGCCCCGACAGGAGCCGAGGGCTGCAGCTTTGCTAGCCCCACCGCTTCGCTTAGAGGCGGCACTGCGTAGGCCAGCTTTTTGTCTCGGAGAGCGCCAGGGCGGGAAGCGATTGCCCAACCACAGGGCCCTGGCGGTGGCGATTGGGGCGGGAGGTGGCGCTCCTTCAGGCACTTTGAACTTTGAGCAGTGAGTGGCTAGAGAAGTCCGCGAACCACTGCCAGTCCCCCTTCTGCTCCCGCACAAAACCCGTTTCCGTGCCCCGGATCCGGGCGCGGGCCGCAGCTCCGGCTGCACCGGGAGCACGCAGCTCGCACCCCGAGCGTGGAAGTCCCGCGCGTGGGGGCCGCGGGGCGCTGGCGGAGAGCTTGGGCTGACGCCTGGGGGATCTTCAGACTTTTGGGCATTAACAAGGATGCCCTCCCGCACTGGCCCCCTTCCCTGGGCCAGGAAACCGTTTGGGGGCTTTTAAAGAGCCCTTTACTCCGAAAGCATAAGGCGAGGTTAAGTCTCAGAGGGAGACAAATATGGTTTCCATCTGATCAACGCCTCGCGGCAGTGGATAAAATCGTGACGACGTGGGCTGACAAGAGACAACTCTATCCGGCCCCAATTCTCCAGCGATTTGGGTTTTAGGGATCCCCGAGACACTTTTTCTTATCTCCTCCCCCCCTCCCCCCGCCCCGCCCCACCATACCCAGGCCCTCGATAGGATTTAGTCAGTCTCTTTTTCAACAGATGCTACAATGTTTTGATCCGGGCTCCCGAGCTGAAAAGGTGCCGCAACCGGGTTGCTATCTTTTCTTGCTTGTTTTCCGCCTCACTGATTAAGACACTAAGAAACTAAGGAATGATTTTATTTCCCAGCGTCCTTCCCCCCCACCTCTCTTCTCCTTCCAGAAAACAAATCCTCTCCCCCGCGTCAGATGGTCCCGGGGCTGGGATAATGGGAGGCGCTTTCACTGGCCTTCTCACGGATTAGGCTGGAAGGTGGACGGCGCCCAGCCCATTGAAGGCGCCTCCCCTGCGCTCGGAGGGGGCGCCTTTTAAAGAAGATATCTTAATTGTTTGCCACTTAGGTTTATCATATGGGGAATTTGAGACCCAACTTCTAGTTTTATTTTGTGAAAAGCTTTAAGAGAGGAAGGTAAATCCACTAAAGAAAAATAAAGAAGGGGGGAGGGAGCAATCTAAGAGTGACCGCTCTGGCACCGCCTGACTAGAGCAGTTGCTACTATGAAAGTAATAATAATAATTTTAAAAAATGCTTCCAGGGGTGCAGGCTCGCTCCGCTCCGAGGAGTCACGGAGGGATGCTACAGCCACGGGTTTCTCCTGACCCGCTTCCAAGTCCACTCTCCCCCAAAGAAGTTTAAAATCCAGCTCTCCTCATCTCCGTTGACTTTCCTCTCCTTAAATGTCAGTTCTCAAGTCAGTTCTGTGCCTGCGTTTGTGCGAGATTGTGTGAGTGTGTGGGGAGGGGGAGGGGGAGAAAGAAGAAGGAAAGCATGGGCAAATGTCCATGTTTTAAAATTAGGAAGATGTCAGAGAAGCAAAGGAGAGCAGAGAATGCTATCTGTGAGGGTCTTCGGAGAGAGACCAGGCAGCTTTGTTTAATTGGCAAGATCGAATGTGCCAGAAAAAGGACTGGGATGGGGCCTCCTGGAAGGCATGACTGATCACCCCTGTGAGATGGGATTGTGGTCTCCTCAGGCCCTGCCCCTGATCAGTTTTTGTTTGTGTTTTCCTAAAGCAATACCCTAGGAGCCTGTCTAGTTGGCCCAAAAGGACTCTAGCTAAAGTCCTCCTCATTCACTGAACCCCCAAGTAAGGGCAGCTCTTCATTTCTTTCCCTGAAAAAAACAAAACAAAACCCACTTTGCTAAGTCCCTCGGAAACCTGGGGCAGTAAATTAGCGAAGACGTGCTGGCGTGGGCGAGTCTCCCCTGTGCTAAGTAGCCCTCCTCACTCCCGCCTTCCTGAGACAGCACAAGGCCACCCTAAGTAGTGCCTCGGCCTATTGACTAATATTGCCTTTCCCCTTTATCTTCCTTTTCCTCTTTCTCTCCTCTTCTCCTTCTACCTTCTTATCTTTTTCCTCTGAGCACTCTTTTCTGTCTTTCTTACACCTTTCTTCCTCCATCTCCCTCCCCTCTTCCCTCTCCCCCACCAATCCAGCCCCATCTTCCCTCCCTGCTCCCACCCCTATTCCCCAACCCTGGTCTCTATCATCCCTGACTGTCGGGCCCCCCCCCCCCCCCCCCCCGCCCACTAGTCCCCATCCACCCTCCCTGCCTCCCCTACCCCATGCTCTGGCCCCCCATCCACCTTCCAACCCCCCCCCCCCCAGCCAAGCCCCTAAATAGCATTGAGGCGCCCGCTCTCCGGACAGTGATTAATGATAGCGGAGCAGAGGGGTTAACACACTTCACTGAAAAGTCTGTTGACTGGGCTTCTTGTAACACAATGTGGCCCGCTGCACGCCTCAAGAGAATCCTTTTGTTGTCCGCGCTCATTGTGGCCTCAAAATTCTGCCCACGAAAGTTTGCCAGCGCTCCTGCCCCAGGAGTTTAATAGTTTCCCTTACTCGCAGGGCATTGTGCGGCGCTGAAAAGCAGCCCCTCGCTATTCAAGTGTTGGTGGTCATCTCAATAGATCTCCAAGGGCCCATATGGTGGCCAGTGCCGATGAATCCGCCTGTTTAAATGGGGGAGAAAGTTGGGGTTTTAAAACATTTCAGAGTTCCTGAAAAGATCCCACTAGATCCTGTCACAATTCCCTGAACTCTTTGAAGGCAATGCCTATTGTCTCCTGATTATAAATGATATTCCTGGCCAAGTCGATTTTCACCAGGGCCCCCTAGTAGCCCCTCCCCCCACTGGCCAAGTTTCTAGGTCAGCCCCTGTTGGTATCCCTTGGGGGCCTCAGGACCCAAGACCCAGGACCCAGCTTACAGGCCCAGTCAGGGATGAGTGCTTCCCTACAGACAGGCTGTGGCCTCCTGGGCAAGGCGCAAGACAAGAGACAGCTAGCTCAAGTGCACATCTTGCCCCCCAAGCAACAAGGGAAAACAATAAAACTTTCCCCTGCTTAATGATAGAAATTACATTAAAAGTGGTGGAAATGCCCTAATTAAAAATGTACCACTTAAATGATATGCCAAGGACTCAGCTGCAGCCTAGAATACTTAGCTAGTTAGTGAACTCTCTATTTCTTTTTTTAAAATTACACGTTAAAAATTTAAAAGAAATCTTACTTTTCTCTGGTGCAACACATTACAAAGAATGGACAGTCCTTTTATCTAAATATAAAATTCGATTTTCAGCAATTATAGCCTGTTCTTGGTGATGATATAATTACAGCTGTGCTTGTAATAGGTGTCAAGGCAAAGCGCACTCATACAATAGTTGAATAAAACTGCAGAACAATGCGAGTACTTCTAAATTCACAACCTTTAAAATGAAATTGACTGTGCAGAATTAAAATAAAAACTAGATAAATATTTTTTTAAAAAGATTACAAGCTTGGTTTGGTTTCTTAATAGCATTTTCTACAAACCTATCAACATCTAATTGATTAGATAGGAATTACTGATTATAGATCAGCTGAAATCTTGAGCATCACTCTTCTATTTTCCCAACACAGCCATAGGTAAGTAAATTCTGTAGGGAAAGGTAACTGGGTAAGGCATTTGGGGAGTCAAGTTTAGTTATGAAAGATAATTTTAATCAGAAACTTTAGTACTTATTTTGTCATTCGAAGAAATGTTACTCTTTAAGTATCTGTATTGTATGGTCGGGTTCATCTTGATAAAAACAGAAAGCAAAAAAAAAGGTCAGGTATTGTATGTCCAAAATGCCTTTTATCAAAAAGAAACATCCCTTGGGAATGTTTTCATAAGACTGTCTAAATATACAGCCCTTGGAGTTTGTGGCTATACCAGACCTGCTTTGGAGCCCCAAGTTATTCCAAATTTCTCATACTGTCCTATTCTTTTTGTTCCAGATGGCTGCCAGCAACAGGAAGGAGGGGGAGAGAATACCAACTCCATCAGTTCCAATGGAGAAGATTCAGATGAAGCCCAAATGCGACTTCAGCTGAAGCGGAAGCTACAAAGAAATAGAACATCCTTTACCCAAGAGCAAATTGAGGCCCTGGAGAAAGGTGATGGAGTTTTTCAAAGTAGAGAAGCAGTAAATCAAAGTAAATGTCACATCTTCAGTACAAAGAGCTAAATTTAGCCAGGGCCCTTTGCATAGAGGACTGAAAAGATCCCTTTTTCCTTTTTGTCTCTTTTTTTTTCTGGGCATCTTTTCAGTGTGTGTGTGTGTGTGTGTGTGTGTGTGTGTGTGTGTGTGTGTTTCTTCCTTCTTTTCATGTACCAGTAATTCAAAGAGTAAAAGTCTGACTTCTCATACTGAAAAAAAAAAAAAAAAAGATGATTTGGCTAATTCAGCCCACAGAAGAGTCCTTGAATGAATGTTATTCCAAAGAAAATGTAACTTGGTTCTGGTGGGATAGTTCCTCCAACAGTAGTAGCATTTTAAAAGGAATTGGTTGGAAGTGGGAGCCAGTTGGATTCAGGATGTGGTTGACATGTTTCTGGCACAACAAAGAAAACTTACTCTTTCAGAGTTTGAGAGGACCCATTATCCAGATGTGTTTGCCAGAGAAAGACTAGCAGCCAAAATAGATCTACCTGAAGCAAGAATACAGGTACCCAGCTTCCCTGTGGTTTCATGCTTTGTGATTCAAACCGTTTGCCTTTTCTAGAGACAAAAGTGCTTCTAAGGAACTTCATTCATTTATATAAATAGTAACAGATTCAGTGTGCTGAATACTTTGCCACCATTTCGGGGAGGGGCACCGCGGAAATGCCAGAGGTGGGTGCAGGGCTAACCTGTTCTGTCTGATTTCAGGTATGGTTTTCTAATCGAAGGGCCAAATGGAGAAGAGAAGAAAAACTGAGGAATCAGAGAAGACAGGCCAGCAACACACCTAGTCATATTCCTATCAGCAGTAGTTTCAGCACCAGTGTCTACCAACCAATCCCACAACCCACCACGCCTGGTAATGTGAAGTGTTAATACTACTAAGAAATCTGTTTAAACCCGCTTGCCCTGGGCTCTGACTCTCAACATGACTGTTGGTTGTGTCTCTTTCCCTGCAGTTTCCTCCTTCACATCGGGCTCCATGTTGGGCCGAACAGACACAGCCCTCACCAATACGTATAGTGCTCTGCCACCCATGCCCAGCTTCACCATGGCCAATAACCTGCCTATGCAAGTAAGTGAGGCCTGTAGCTGCCTGCTTAGCGGAGGTGGGGAGTGGGTCAGGGCCTGCAGACTTCATTGGTCTTGTACGCCCCCTTGGGAGCCTTTCTCACTGCAGTAATTGGCTTGCCCAGTCTAGTCTGAGATGAAAACAGTCAATCCAGTTTTTAGTTGATTGATTGATTGATTCATGCCCCTAAAAAATATAAAAACCTGATGTTCAGTCAAGTTTATCTTCTTATTGCTCACAGAGAATGTTAGCTTGATAATGGTGGGTGGGAAGGAGGCATGTTTTGGATGTCAGTGAAACTTGTCCTGGAAAATGGAAATAATGCTGGCACATTATCAGATAGTAAGAGGTTAGAAATAAAATTGGGGTTTATATTAAAAGGCGAAAGATTTATACGATCTGAAGAGAAACCAGAGTATAGGGGGGTTTATATTAATGTGTTCATATAATAGACTAGAGGCCAGGTGCATGACATTTGTGCACTGTGTGTGTGTGTGTGTGTGTGTGTGTGTGTGTGTGTGGTGTCCTTCAGCCCAGTCTGCGCCCTCTCGCAGTCCAGGACCCCTTGGGGGATGTCTGACTGCTGGCTTACGCCTGCTCCCCACATTGGGAGACGGCTGCCTGCCACGGAGGCAGGAGAGGCTCCCGCCACTGCTGCGGCGCTCACCAGCCATGAGCAGTGCTCCCCCTATGGGAGCTCACTGACCACAAGGGGGCAGCTTCTACATTGAGCGTCTGCCCCCTGGTGGTCAGTGTGTGTCATAGCAACCAGTTGTTCCATTGTCCGGTTGATTTACATATTAGGGTTTTATTATATAGGATATATAATCTGTGTATGGATTTTGGGATTATATGTGATAAACTAGTGAGGAAGATAAAATGGGTCAGAAATGGAATTCATGTTTGCATAGTGGTATATGCTTAATATAGAGAAACAAGTAGTTTTCTTTGTACCTCTTATAATAAAGAAAAGACATAGAAGGTATTGGCTAGAAATTTAGTGTGTCTTTGCCAAGAATTATGTGATGAGTTTGTGGCACTCTGAGCTGCCTGGGTTGATGCTATTTACTTGGTATAACAACATGTCCCTACCTACTCTCAATTCTGTCCCAAATATTTATCAGCCCCTACACATGCTAAACCCTGTAGCACAGTGATGGCGAACCTATGACACATGTGTCAGAGGTGACATGCGAACTCATTTTTTTGGTTGATTTTTCTTTGTTAAATGGCATTTAAATATATAAAACAAATATCAAAAATATAAATCTTTGTTTTACTATGGTTGCAAATATCAAAAAAATTCTATATGTGACACGGCACCAGAATTAAGTTAGGGTTTTTGAAAATGCTGACACGCCAAGCTCAAAAGGTTCGCCATCACTGCTGTAGCAGGTTAAGCCTTTATGATGGAATTGTACAGTGCAGGTGGGATGTACTAGAACTTTGCAGCTGATTGGATTCTGGATGGGGGGAAAACTGGTCTTCTGGTGGGCCTTCTGCAGTGACTTTCCTAGGACTCCTGTCTGTGCAACAATTACAGATGCCAATGGTGTGAGATTGACCAGCATGAGCCCCTCTGGAAACAGTTCTGTGGTTACAGAGTGTTTATTCTCCACTGAATATCTTTTGCTGGGTTTCTAATCCAAATAACAGCAAAATAAATGTTTCACAGTCTTCAGACTAATACAGGAACAGCTAGATAAGCAACTTCAGAAGAATTATTTCCATGTTTATTTTTATTGCACCTGGATATTATTGGCCATAGTGCAATTATTGTAAATTAAGGGATTAACAGCCCATTAGCTGGTGTTACTACAACTGCCTTGGAATTTTCCAGAAGTCTGATTGCCTGGAGGAAGTGATTTTGGGAATTAGAAACAAATGCAAGCTGAAATTCTGGCAGGGCCCTCAAGGCCTGCTTGCCTCTTTGAACCTGCTGTTAGCAGTCATCCTCTGACGTTAGTAAGGCCACTGAGTAGCTTGCTCAGTTTTGTAAATTATAGCAACATCTAGGTTTCTGTGAAGATAACCAAATGTGTACATGGGAAAACGATAGAAACAAGCAGATGCTGCTATTCTATTAGGGTTGTTTCCACATATAAACTGGCATGGGTCAATTGATTTCACTGACTTTAAAATAATTACACAACCTATCCAACCAAAATATATATGCATTCATAAAGCCTAAAGAAAATAAAAATATCGATGATTCTGTTCAGAGAAAATTACTCTTTGAATTTTGGAGCAGGGGCAGGGGTTGTTGGTGTATGTGGGGAGCTAGTCTGTCTGTCCATCACTTTGTCATGTTGACCAAAATCTTCCACCATTTTACAAAAAGATTGGGTGTCCTCCTCTGAATCTTCTTTAATGTGTCATGCTCTCTGAGACTGTGGATTTTGGGATGTTAAACATTTCTATAGTTCGCAGAGTAGAGTAGTACTGTCATTTCTCCCTTGTTTCTGACGTCATGCTTCTATTAATTCATCCCAACTTTTCTGTTGGTGGGAGTTCATGAGGAGTTTTGCCCCAGTTCTGTGTATTTCTCATTTAGCTAGGAGAAAGGCTCATCTCTTCTATATCACCATTGTACACAATTAGAGGGTAGCAACACAATTTTAAGGACAAAACCCAGTCTGGGTTTGTGGGTCTGTAAGGAAGTTTCAGCTAATTCTTAGGATGGGTTAGGTATTTACTGATACTTCTGACCACTTTCATATGAGATCATTACTGATCTGCCTCTTCAAAGAATCTTTAATCCCATGAGTCCAACCTTGAAAGGCTCCCAAAGTACCCAAACCCAACTTTATAGAGAGCTCCTTCCACTGCTGTCTGCCCCAAAGCTTGAGATATGGGATTTGGGGGTCACTGGGTTCTCAAATAGATTGGATTTACAGAAGAAAGGATGTGTTTTAATGAAAGTCTTCATGCCATAGCTTCTCTAAAGATGTCAGCAGAGATCCAAGATAAAAATGGACAAAAGTCCTACCTGGGCAGTTGTCTAAATTTGTAGTACACTTATTTACTTAAAAATATTGTTATTGATCTCAGAGATGAAGGGAGAGGGAGAGGCAGAAACATCAATGATGGGAGAGAATCATTGATCGGCTGCTTCCTGCATGCCCCACACTGGGGATCCAGCCTGCAACCTGGGCATATGCCCCTACCCGGAATTGAACCATGACCTTCTGGTTCATAGGCTGACACTCAACCACTGAGCCATGCCAGCTGGGTTGTAGTACTTTCCGAAGTTTGGTGTGTAGGCAATTTTACTTGAGCAGTGGACAATGGAAGGACTAGTTGGAGGCCTGATCTTAAGAGTTTCCACATGGAATTTTCCAGTACTTTACAGGAGGACGTCTTTAATGGTCAGGGCTGTTGGCAGAGTTTCTGGGGAGGAAGGAGCTTGGGGATGTGGCTGTGTGATGTGTTTCTCTGTAACCACAGGTTTGCCTTTCTCCTCTCAGCCCCCAGTCCCCAGCCAGACGTCCTCGTACTCCTGCATGCTGCCTACCAGCCCTTCGGTGAATGGGCGGAGTTATGATACCTATACCCCCCCACATATGCAGACACACATGAACAGTCAGCCAATGGGCACCTCGGGCACCACTTCCACAGGTGAGCCGCTGCTCCGCAGGCTGCACAGAGGTGGCCTTAGGAGTTTCTTTTTGCCGGGTGATCTCCCTTCACTCAAAGTTGACCTAAAGAAAACACACACACACACACACACACACAAAACCTACCTCCTGGCCTTGTGTGATGGTGTGTTTAACTCTTTATTGCTTGCTTTTCTGGGGAAAACTGATTGAAAAGGGAAATTCAGCCAACCTAGTTAGTAACTTGACACCATACAGACAGAAAGCAAAGTTGTTCTTCCTGAGCTTGGTCACAGAGGTTGTCTGTAAAGCCAAGGCCTGCGAATGTAAGGTTTCCGAGGAGCTATCAGTAGCCAAAGTTCAGCAGCGAGGGCTCCCTGAGCTGCGCGGTGAGTGCTTCCTGGAAGATTTCTCTCCCCGCTAGCTCCTCTGTGCTTCTCATTGCAACTGAAGTACCACATTGGTTTTTCAGAGATAGTTTTATCATGAGGTTCCAAACATACCAACCAATGGGGCGCTTTTTCTTTCCTTTTGCATAGGGGACTTGGGATTCAGTAGGGGTGTGTCAAAATGTTATGTGGCTTCTGAAGCTGCTACTTTGGTTTGTAACACTTGAAGATATATAAAAACACAGTACAAATGTGAGAATGCATTAGAGCTCATTGTTTGAACCTATGAAGTCATACTCCTTACCTGTCTCTCGAAGGGAATATCTACATGGCTATTTTTTTCATCCACTTCCAGGACTCATTTCCCCTGGTGTGTCAGTTCCAGTTCAAGTTCCTGGAAGTGAACCTGATATGTCTCAATATTGGCCAAGATTACAGTAAAAAAAAAAAGAGAAAGAAAAAATATATTGTGTTCAGTCAGTGACGATGTGGACACCGCAGTTGGGCGTTCAGGAAAGAAAGGAAAATGGCTGATAGTAGCACTTCGGTTCTGCGATTATGTCCAGTATGGTACCACTGGAGGACGGACTTGGAACAAGGACCTTTGTATACAGAAGGCACGAGATCAGTTGGAACAAATCTTCATTTTGGTATCCAAACTTTTATTCATTTTGGTGTATTATTTGTAAATGGGCATTTGTAATAATGAAAAAAAGAACAACGTAGACTGGATGGACATTTGATCTGTGCTGGTCATGAAGTTGTTTTTTTGTTGTTGTTTGTTTTGTTTTTAAAAAAAGGAAACCATGATCAACAAGCTTTGCCATGAATTTAAGAATTTTATCAAGATATATCGACTACTTCTACCCATCTATCTGTTCATAGTTTATGGACTGAGGTTCCAAGTTTGAATCATTCCTTTGCATATAATTAAACCTGGAACAACATGCACTCGATTTATGTAAGAAATATCTGTTGGTTTTCCAAAGGTTGTTAACAGATGAAGTTTATGTGCAAAAAAGGGTAAGATATAAATTCAAGGAAGAAAAAAGTTGATAGCTAAAAGGTAGAGTGTGTCTTCGATATAATCCAATTTGTTTTATGTCAAAATGTAAGTATTTGTCTTCCCTAGAAATCCTCAGAATGATTTCTATAATAAAGTTAATTTCATTTATATTTGACAAGAATACTCTATAGATGTTTTATACACATTTTCATGCAATCACGCGTTTCTTTTTTGGCCAGCAAAAGTTTATTGTTCTTAGATATAGTTGTATTACTGTTCACAGTCCAATCATTTTGTGCATCTAGAATTCATTCCTAATCAATTAAAAGTGCTTGCAAGAGTTTTAAACTTAAGTGTTTTGAAGTTGTTCACAACTACATATCAAAATTAACCATTGTTGATTGTAAAAACCATGCCAAAGCCTTTGTATTTCCTTTATTATACTATTTTCTTTTTAACCTTATAGTGTGGTGTTACAAATTTTGTTCCCATGTTGGAGTAACATTCTAAACCAATGGTTACTTTCATACATTCTCTATTGTAAATCCTGATGATCCTTAAAGAAATAATTCTTAAAGATATCATAAATCAGAAATGTGTTAGAAAAAAAATCTACTTGAAGCTGCATGCCCATTTATGCCCACAACACACATACTAAATGGAAACATTTTCCAGCGAGCCATTTCATCCAAAAGCTCAAAGTCTAGAAATAATTTTAAAAAATGCAACAAGCTATTAACTAAGAATTGTCTTTTGAATTAAGGCTGGCATATTCAATCTGGGCAAATTTCCATTGTCAGCTTATTTCAACAGTGATTTCACTGAAGTATATTCAAAAGTAGATTTCTTATACAAGACTCTCTGAAAGCTGTTGCCTTTCTCCCTTTTCTATCTCCCTCCCCTTTGCACAGAGGCATCATTCCCCATTGAACCACTACAGCTGTTCCCATTTGAATCTCCCTTTCTGTGCGGTTGTGGATGGTTGGAGGGTGGAGGGGGGATGTTGCATGTCAAGGAATAATGAGCACAGACACATCAACAGACAACAACAAAGCAGACTGTGACTGGCCGGTGGGAGTTAAAGGCCTTCAGTCATTGGCAGCTTAAGCCAAACATTCCCAAATCTATGAAGCAGGGCCCATTGTTGGTCAGTTGTTATTTGCAATGAAGCACAGATCTGATCATGTTTAAAGTGGCGGCACGCAGGGCAGGAGTGCTTGAGCCCAAGCAAAGGATGGAAGAAAATAAGCCTTTGTTGTTTTGAAAACCTGTCTGAGACTTTTATTTCTGTATGTTCTGTGCAACACATAAGTCAATATAGATGTTTCCTTCTGCAAACTTCCATCAAAGGCTGGGGGTCTGGGCAGTCTAGATTAAATGCTTGCACAGGCAGAAACCTCTGGGGACAAAGACCCACTCCCACTGAATTGTACTGTGCTTTTTATTTGTTTTGTTATGTTTTAAACTCCCAAAAGCAAATGATCAGAAATATAGAAATTAATTGGAGGCTTTAAAAAAACAACCTTCTACCTCCACATCTCCTATTTTCTCGTTAAGGAGTCACTTGTGAACAGATCATTGTGATTCATCTCTTTGGCATGCTATGTGTTAATGCTTTTATTCCAGCAGAGTTGCTGTGCATTTAGAGACACCTTCCTAGGCTGGCTGTAGCTTTTTCGTGTGTGTGTGGTTTGATTCCATGTCAGTCCGCACTGCATGCTTGCACACTTCCGCAGTGGCTTGTGCAGACAGATGCACTGTTGGTACAGTTGCCCGTGCAGGTGTTTCTACCTCCTGACATTTCACAGCCTGCATTCCCAGGGGGACATGTATCCAGGGAACTGTCGGAAGGGCTACGTGTGGTGCGTGCTGCAGCTGCTGCCTGGCTTCTTCTCTGGAAGAAGGAGGACCGTTTCCAACTGGCTATGATTTGGGCCAGGGTTAGGCAACCAGTTCTGGCCCATGGCTCTGTTGTGTAGAGTATAGACTTAGGAGAACTGGTGGCCCTTGGGTGCAGGAGCTGGGAATGGGAGAAGGGGAGTGCTGGGGGAGTGGAGAGTCGGTGCGTGTGCACTTGGGCCCGTGACCTCTGAGGGACTAGATTTCCAGGGCACAGTGGCACAGCCTGGCTGAGTTGGAAGAAGCGGCTGCTCAGCTGCAGAAGGCCTCTGATCCAGCAGGATGCAAGGCTGCCCTGCCTTCTGCTCTCACCCTGGGGAGATGAGCGGTACCCTGAATGCAGCTCTGGGCGCCTTCCCGGGGACAGCATGGCCAGCACTGTGTGGAAGTAATGCCCAGGAGGCTGCCTTCGACTTATTGTTGAAACTGTTTATTTAGAGTTAGGCGTATGTATGTATGTATGTATGTATGTATGTATGAATGTATGTATGTATTGGTGGGAACTCCGCAGGGAAGCTTTGACACCATCTTCCAGGACGGTGGCCTGTATTTGGGGTGTCCTCAGTAGAACCACACGACTAACAGCTTATGCTTTTCCTCCAGACTTGGCTGGCTTAGGGAGACCAGGTGAACAGAATCAGAGGTGAATGTTTGAGTAAGAAACATTCAGGTTACTGAGTAAAAAAATTCTTTTTTACTACAAGAAATTTCCAGAATATTTTCCCTTCAAAGCTGTACCTCCTGACTATTACGTGGTAATCCACTGACTTTTCTTGATACGGCTCACATACTCATCTCCTCCTGCTTTAAAAAAAAAAAAAAAATCATAACCAGTTTCCTGAGATACAGTATTTGTTAAGATTCAGCATTTTTTTTTTTTTTTTTGGTGAATTTTTGTCATGTTAGGATGGTGTCTATATTCTTCTGCTTCTTGGTTTTCCTTAGGCCTTCACATTAACAACATTATAAAAAGAAGGCTCTTCTTTGAATATCTGGCTCACGAAGACGAAACACAAATTCTTCCTTTGTTTGTTTCTCCAGAATAAACCTCACCTGTTTTTTTTTTTTTTTTTTGCATCACTTCTGCTCAGTTTTAAAGTTCAGAGTGTAAGTATTTAAAGTTAGTCTTGCTTAAATTTGATGGTGTTGATGGTGACTATCTATGGAAGGCATTACATGATGTTTTAGAAATGACATTCATAATGGACTTAAACAAATGAATAGGGGCCACCCCACCCCCATTTTCCTTTTGTATGTGGATGCCTGTGTCTGATTCTTTAAAATTAAAAGAAAGACAGGGAATCGATTGCCAAGTGTTGCTTCTTTTGAAGTAGTTTTATTTTGTGTAGTGTTAGTGATCACAAATCCCGGAGGTACAAATAAAGAATAAATGGAAGAGAGAAAGAGAAAAGTGGAAATTGGTGGTTACCAGAAAGTAATTCCTAAGGTCTTAGAACCCCAGGATCTGAGCAGACTGCAGTGGTCAAAATATTTACCTCACCCAAAAAAAGGCAAATCTAGCGTAAGAAATGAATACCAGAGAGGGTTTTGAAGTTTTAGAAACATTTAAAAAAAACTCTGCTTGCCATTGTTACATAAGTATTTGAGATAAGTTGATAACTGAAAAAATCTGTTTATAGAATGTATATTTCATCATGTATCAAAAATGGTCCATATACCTATGGTAGCATCAGTGATATTTTTATGTAGTAAATTATTAACATATGGCTAATTGGATAATGCTTCCAGAAGGAAAATACATTTTTATCAGAGGAAAACAAAAATATACATTCCTCTTCAGTAGCTAATTTTTACAAAGCCTGGCTAGTGAATCAGACCAAACACTTGCATCTAATTTTTGGAAGGCCCAAGTACTATTGTTCAAAATGCACTTTTACTGAGTTTGAAAAGTTTCTTTTATATTTAAAATAAGTTGGGATCAAATATGCTCAATTTTTATAGCATTTATCTGTTTGCAAAGCATACATTAACTAGTAATTGGCTGCTAATTTTATAGACATGGTAGCCAGGGTAGTAAATCAATGACCTATTAAGTATTTTTGACAAGCAATTTACATATCTGATGACCTCACTTTTTTTTTCCAGAGTCCAATGCTATGTAATTGTTCCATTGTGTGTTTGCATAAATGAGTCACAACACGGTAAGAAAAAGGTTAGAGTTATTAAAATAATAACCAGACTAAACTAGTCATTTCAACTTATTCAGATTGTTCATAATGCTTTCAAAGGATATAGCAAAGCTTTTGGGGAGTAACTGCACATGCTTTATTATCTATGGACTAAATTGAGTTTCTGAAGTTGCTTTAAATTTTAAAAGCACCTTTGCTTAATATAAAAAGCCCTCTAATTTTAACTGACAGATCAATTCTGAAACTTTATTTTGAAATGAAAATGGGAAAGAATTTGTGTCTCTTGAATTAAAAGAAGTGAAAAAAAAAAAATAAACCAGACATTCTAAAAAAAAAAAAAAAAGAAAAAAAGAAATCTGATTTTTAGTACTAATGAAATAGTGGGTGACAAAATAGTTGTCTTTTTGATTTTGATCACAAAAAATAAACTGGTAGTGACAGGATCTGATGGAGAGATTTGACATCCTGGCGAATCACTGTCATTGATTCAATTATTCTAATTCTGAATAAAAGCTGTATACAGTGTGTGTTTATGCTACAGTGGGTTTTTTTTAAGTGACTGACATTCATCAGATTGGTTAGACAGTTTAAAAACCTAGTCTTTGTTTTCTACAATGTTGTCAAGAACAAATAAA